CTAGTGATCTATCATAAGCATGCATAAAACATATACAATACACAAAACCATATACAAGAAGGTAATAATCATACACAATGACCTGGGGATATGCATGATAGAAAAATTTGTCTATGAATTAATGAAAGAAGTCATTTCCTATAGCAGTATGTGTGTGTGTTTGAGAGAATTAAGTAGGAGGGAAGATTGTCTCTATATACTTTTAGGTCGTAAAGTTTATCTTATCTGGCTGAGGTGTCCTGGTTGCCATGGTAACGTTGGAACATGGTAATATTCACAGATATATAGGCACCGAGTCTTGTGTTGGGTGAGGGGGTTTGCTGGATTATTCATTAAATATAATGAATAAATGTGTGTCTGATTAGTCCAAACACTACAAAACGTATTCTGTTACTAACGTAACCTTGGTTCCCTTAGATACGGGAATGAGTACTGCATCGCTAGACACTATGGGGAAAAACTCCTTTTTCTCCGTCGACTGAAGCCTTTTCAATCACGCAGTGTAACTATATGGCCATTGGTTCGTGTAGTAAATAAAAAATGAACCAATGGCGACGAAGCCCGCCAGAATGGACTGGGCTGCCTGGCTATATAAGCGGGCATTACGCCATAGGATCTCAAGTAAATTCGACTGAAGCGACTACACTGACTCAACTGGCTTTGAGCAACTCAGGCTCAAAGGGACCAAGTATAAGCAGGGTAAATCCGCAGGAGGCACGAGGGCTGAACTCACCGAGGTCAACACAGCCTTGGATAATCGTTCCAAACCATTATGTATAGCATCAGCACTTCTAAAAGGACCAAGAGCGTAAATTAAGTAAGGCAAGTTATAGTTATAGAACCTGGTGAAGGTGGATGGACACGCCGCTGGACCACGCCTCTTGTTGAGTGGGCTCTTAGTCCTATGGGGCATTGCAGGCCCAGGGAGGAGTACGCAAACGAAATAGTGTTAACTAGCCAGCGAGAAATTCTCTTCTTTGTGACCGGAGCCCTTTTGGTGCGGCCACAAAAGCATATAAAGAGTTGTTCCGTCTGTCTGAAGGGGGCGGAAAGCTCGATGTAAATTCTCAGCACCCTGACAGGGCAGAAGGTTGAACTCCTGGTCCTCTGACGAGGGAGGAAGCGCAGAGATAGTGATAATCTGTGCTCTAAACGGAGTGTAGAGAACGTTTAAGGAATGTAACCATGCCTTGGCTTCAGGACGACTTTGGAGTCGTTAGGCCCAAACTCAAGGCAGGCAGGGCTGTTTTTAAGTTCACAGACTGTAGTGGCTCAAAGGGGGAACCCTCGAGGGCTCTCAGGGCCGTGGGTAGATCCCATGTAGGGACTGGGGGGGACCGAGGCAGATTGAGCCTTCTGGATCCCTTCAAAAACCGAACAACTAAGTTGTTGCTGCCCACTGACTATCCCGCTATAGGAGCGTGGGAAGCTGCTTTAGCTGCCACACCGACTTTGAGCGTGAAAGGGGAACGGCTCTTGTCCAACAGCTCCTGTAGGAAGGACAATATCAACGATATGTCACAGGAAGTAGGGTCTTCGCCGCGGGATGAACTCCAGGCAGAATAGATTGACAATTTAAGGGCATAGAGGCGTCTCGTAGATGGGGCTCTAGCATGTGATATGGTACTCAGGACACTGTCGGGAAGAACTGTTGATTTCCGTCGAGAGCCCAGAGGTGCAGAGCTCACAACTCAGGTTGGGCGCACCAAATCGTCCTGTTCGCCAGAGAGAGGAGGTCCCGTCTTAGGGGAATGGGCCATGGGGCTGTTGTCAGCAGCTGTGACAGCTCCGAGAACCAAAACTGGTTCCTCCAGAGCGGGGCCACTAGGAAGACTCCGTGTTTGTGATCCCTGATTCTGAGTGACCGGTGGAAAAGCATACAGGAGGCATTTGGGCCAATCGTGGGTCAATGCGTTCTCGCTCTTCGAAAAATAGATTGGGCAGTGAGAGTTGTCTTTTGAGGCGAAGTGGTCGACCTCTGCCTTGCCAGAGATCTCCCAGATTTCCTGAACCGTCTGTGGGTGGAGCATCCACTCCTCTGAGGGGACGTTGCTCTGAGACAACATGTCTGCTCCTTGGTTCAATATGCTGGGCACATGTGCTGCCCTCAAAGACCGCATGTTGAGATGTGCCCATTCCAAGAGGCGTTTCACCATCTCCAAGAGGTGTTTCGAGATGAGCCCACCCTGACGATTTATGTAGGAAACCACTGTCATGCTGTCTGAGCGGACTAGCACGTGGTGTCCCTTCAGGTCCGGTAAGAAGGTCTGAAGGGCTCGACATACTGACGTCATCTCGAGGCAGTTGATGTGTAGCTGACCCTCTGTGTCCGACCAGGAGCCGAAGGCCGGTTTGCCCTTGCACAGAGCTCCCCAACCTGTGTTGGATGCATCTGTCGAGACAACCTTCCTTCTGTAAATAATGCCCATGGTTACGCCCTGCTTGAACCACTGGGTTTCCTTCCTAGGGCTAAAGCTGTCACACAGGCCTGGCTCAACTTGATTCATTGGCGTCTGTGACACCACGCATGGGGCGTAACTTGTGGTTTCAGCCAACACTGAAGGGGTCTTATGCAAAGCAGGCCCAACTGTAGTACTGGTGACGCGGAGGCCATGAGGCCTAGCATTCTCTGAATGTCTTGAGTGGGCGAGAGGCTCCAACTCTGAAGAAGGCCGTGAGCTGTTGTATGGCCAAAGCACCTTCTGGTGCGACTATCGACCTCATATGGACTGAGTCGAATACTGCTCCCAGGAACGAGGCCTGTTGGCTGGGAGACAGTAAGCTCTTGGCAAAGTTGACCCTGAGTCCCAGGCACTCTAAGTGGCTGAGAAGGAGGGATCTGTGGGATATTAGCTTGGCCTCTGACTGTGCTAAGATGAGCCAGTTGTCGAGGTAGTTCAGAATGTGGACTCCCTTCTGTCTCAGAGGGGAGAGCGCCGCATCCATGCACTTTGTAAAAGTGCGAGGAGCCAGGGACAGTCCGAAAGGCAGGACCGTGTATTGATATGCCACTCCCTCGAAGGCGAATCTCAAGAATCGTGATGGGGGGCTACCTGGATAAGAAACTAAGCATCTTTCAGATCCAGAGAAAAGAACCAGTCCCCTGGGCGTATTTGCGAGAGGATCTGTTTCAACATGGCCATCCAGAACGGCCATTTCATGAGGGTGCGGTTCAGGTGCCTGAGATCAAGTATGGGCCGGAGGCCACCATACTTTTTGGGGACGAGGATGTAATGGCTGTAGAAGCCTGACTCACTCTGAGCTGGAGGAACGGTTTCTTCTTTGGCCAGCAAATTCTTCACCTCGGTGCGTAGTACATGGGCGTCCTTGATCTGCACTAAGGTGGGAACCACACCGCTGAATCGCGGGGGTCTTCGAGCGAACTGAAGTGAATAACCTTGTTTTATAATCCCCAAAACCCAGTCTGACACTCTGGGGATGGCCTGCCAGGCCTCGGCCCGTGTGGCGGGTGGTTGGATTGGTTTGGGTGGTGGGTCGCCGTGAGGGGACTTGACACTCGTGATAAGTGGAAGAGGAAATTTACTCTCTTTTGAAAATGTTTGTGTTTTATTTTTTCTGCTGTCGCAGCGGCTGTTTGTGTGGGCACTTTTAACACGGGCCCAGTACTTACAACAGTTTTTGTAACAAAAACACTGCCACCAGCACCCAGAACTGAACGGAGTGCTTGGGGGCATAACAGAGGGCGCTTGGGGGGTGGTCCGGCGATGGCAAGACTTTTCCCCCTCCTCTTTCTGTCTAGATGATCAGGACGACGCCTGAGGCGCAGGATCCAGCGCTATCTTGGGCCAGGGTCCTTGGCGCTTAGGAAAAGGTTAGCGTCTGGCCGAGCTACGAGTGGGATCCTCCGGCGTAGACCACTCCAATCCCAGCTCTCCTCCCACTTTAGAGAGGACGCGGAAAAGTTCGGCGTCCATCCCTGTTTTGGCATCGCTGGAATCCACAGACGTCAAAGGGGCGGGGTCGACAGTCGAGCCCGACATCTCCTCTGTGTCTGATGCAGTTAGAGACATGCTGTCCTCTTAACAGCTCATCCTTAATTCCACCAAATGAAACCATGTTGCTCGCATCAGCCGAGGGACGCTGTTCCGGGTGTTCAAATAGGACGGGAGATTCATCTCTGCGTGGCGAGGGCGAGGCACGCGGGGTCTGAGCCGGCATGTGCTCGCTCGCAGCCGAGCGCTGAACCATTCTGGCCTGCTGTTTTTTCCTCACAGGTCCCTGGGAGGAAGAAAACGGAAGGGTGCGAGGGGCGGAGTCACACTCTGAAAAGAAAGCAATCCGAGCGTGCAGAGAGGCAAGACTCATGTTCATGCAGTGCGAACATTCCATCTCGGTCAGAGCGGCTTCCGTGTGGGGTTTTCCCTGGCAGGAGACACACTCTTGAGTGGCCGTCATCAGCGTGCAGCGAACTCCTGCACAAACTGCAATGACGGCGCGGCATTTGAAACAATGTCGCAAGCTCTTTTAGGGGAATTCGCTATTTTAGGCTCGCCGGAGGGCGGCAGGGGACGAGCTGAAATCTGTGCCGGACACTGAAGACGGCTCAGAGAGCAGGCGGGAACAGCAGAGAAGCGCAGGTGAGTTAGCTCTTTGTCCGCAGCGAGGCGTGTCAATGGCGAGCGGCTTCAAAGTCCGTAGATCAGCGAAAAGAAGATCGTTGTTGCTGAAGGAGAATAGATCTGAGATCCAATGGCGTAATGCCCGCTTATATAGCCAGACGGCCCAGTCCATTCTGGCAGGCTTCGTCTCCATAGGCACCATTGGTTCATTTTTGATTTACTGCAGTTTTTTCCCCATAGCGTCTAGCGACGCAGTACGAGTGAAAGTATCGATAGGGAACCACAGTTTCCAGAACACAGAACTAGTGTGACACGGTTAAACAAAAACTACAGACAAAATGACTACTGTAGCTCTTCAAGCTCTTCAAAGTCATCATGGATCTGATTCATTGTCTTTTCTCTTTCTGTCTTAAGTCTGAGTAGATGCAGTTTTACAGAAGATCAGAGTTTCATCCTTACTTCATCTCTGAAATCCAACTCATCACACCTGAGAGAGCTGGACGTCAGTGAGAATAAAATGTACAACACAGGAGTGTATCAATTACGTGATATACTGAAGGATTCACAATGTAACCTGGAGAGGCTGAGGTGAGGAACATTCACATACAAGAAAGAGAAAAGTGTTTTGGTATTTGAATGGTACAGAATGAATATTTTGTCTCTTAACTCATTGTAGGTTGAGATGCTGTGATTTGACAGATGAAGGTTGTTGTGCCCTGACTTCAGCTCTGAAATCAAACCCATCACATCTGAGAGAGCTGGACCTGAGTATGAATGAACTAGGGAGTTTCTGGAGTTGAAAACATCTGTGATCTACTGATGAACCCACAATGCAAGCTGGAGAAACTATAGTTAGTACCATTATACTACCATTGTACAGCAGTTACAGTTTGATTAAAGTTTAATTTTTTTTGTTTAAGACAACAGACTCAAGGCACATACTTTATAGCACCTCATCTTCTCCATCTGAAGCAAGATTTATAAATACTATTAGATAATGGATTTGTATGTGTATCAGTAGAAAGAGCATTAGACTTTGAAACAATTTATTAGATGTTTCTAGACTAATCTATTATTTTAATCTACAATGAAAAATTTAAAAATTTGTCCAACTGAAGATACTCTATGCTTAGATTGTAACTAGTATCCTCAAGTGTTCATTTTTTGGTTTGTGATCATACAATTAATTTTCCATGTATTTGCTTGTCTATTAGTGACTTTATGGCATTTACTCATGATGTATTTAATTCACACTCACTCGGGAATTTAACATGAATATGATTCATTGTCTTTTCTCTTTCTGTCTTCAGTCTGCGTGGATGCAGCATTACAGAGGAACAGTGTCTCATCCTGACTTCAGCTCTGAAATCAAACCCATCACACCTGAGAGAGCTGGACCTGAGTATGAATAAAATAAAAAAACACAGGAGTGAATCACTTATGTAATGTATTGAAGGATTCACACTTTAAACTGGAGAGATTGAGGTCAGTAACGTTCACATATAAAAATCAAAATACTTAAAATCACTTCAACAGTCAAGGCACTTTATACACGGTCTTGAAGAGTCTGAGAACATATTTGTGTAATTCTTACCTAAATGATTTGTTTGTAAAATTATTTTTTCCTGTTATTCTGTTTGTCTCTTTCTAGTCTAAATGACTGTGCCATTACAGATGTTTCTTCTTTAACTCAGTCTTTGACAAACAAAAAAGCACTGCAGTTTTTAAAAGAGCTTGATCTGAAAAACAATAACATACAAGACTCAGAGAAGCAGCTCATTGATGTGCTGCGAGACTCAAACTGTAAATTGAGGTGAGTAAATGTCTTTCCGTGGTATTAAAGAAAGCTTCATTTACATATAGTCTTGGACAGACAGCCATCCAGCATCACATGATCAATGTCTCTCATCTGTCCTGTTTTGAATTTGACAAGCAACACGTCACATTTCTTCACACTTACTTTCATTTCGGTTTTACTTGGACTACTACAAACATGTTTAAACTAGAGGACAACAGCTTTAACTCATGAAAATTTCACTCAAAGGTTTTGTTGTAATCCAGAATGTGTATTTGCTCCTTTTCATCAGTCACATAAACCATACACTCATCAGCATGTGTTTCTCTTTCACAGTGACTCAATAGGAGTTACAGGCTCTTCTGCAGTCACACTAACATATGAATGTAATTCATGTTTTAAATTATGTTTAAAAAATTTTTTTTTTTTATATATATCTATGCAAGATCATGTAAAATCAGTAATTAATCTGATTACAGGAATTTAATATAACTTATTTTTATACTAAATAAATAAATAGTCTAATATAGTAACTAATTTGCACTTTTTTTTTTCTGCTGAACACTGACTATTTTTTCTTCTGGTTTCATCTGACAGACTAGAGAGAGATTGCTTGTTTCCCAGGTGGATGTCGACCAGGACCAGTAACAAGAACCAGTAATGATCAGGTGAGGATCCACAGAAGAGTCTCACTGCTGTGTCTATGAAGATTAATAAATGTGTGACGTGATGTCTGTATTTCCGAATATAGAATGAGTGTCAACTGAGAGTATCTGCACAAGACAATGAAAATCTTTGTAGCAGTTTTAGTATTTATACAAACATGCATTTATTTGATAGCAAATTTAAACAGCCTCATATAGTATTACTTTAACAAATGACATTTTATTTACTTGCATACAGTTTATAGAAAATGCTCAGACTTTTGAATTAATCAGCATTATTGGAAACACACCATATTGGATTAAACTTTTCAAGCATTTCTGTGATTTAATCAATTACCCACAGGTCTGGTGCAGAGCTCTTCCAGCCCAGTTCTTTCTCTAGAAACAGACACTACCTCAGTGTTTGATGTGAGAAAATGTTATATTAATTAACCTTTATAGGGTAAGAGGGCCATCAGTGTCTGTTAAGACTGTGCAGAGTGGAGCACAATGGTTTCGCAAGCCTGCTTAAGCCAGATCAGGTGAAGGCTGGCTTGTTTCTATTTTCTTGATGTATCCAGTAAATCAAAAGGAGTAGGGTTTCTGCAGCCTGTATCTCCAAATTGATGCCTAAACCTTACATTTACCTCATGAAACATCATGAGTCCCTTTACACAATATCTGCCTTGAACAGGGAAAGTGACCAGAGTAGTTTGCATCAGAGTTTGTGAGCAACTCTGTAGAAAGAATTTATATTTTCCCAGGGAACCATTCAGCTGGGAGCAAAGTTTTTCCATGCCCAGCTGTGATAGATCTGCCAGTGGTTGATAACACGATGGACCTGACTTTAAAATCTCGTAATGTCCACCCTCAGGCTGAATAATATGGAAGCATATGAGTAGCAAAATTCATTTTGAAATGTAATTTGCAAAATGGCAATGCAATATGTAAAATGGCAATCCATTTCTTTATTTAAATGTACATTTTCCCATACATATGTGCAACGTTTAGTGCAAAATGAAAATGAAAATTAATTTATATAATTTACATTTGCCATTTCCTACACTAGTTTTAATATGTAAATTAAAAACATATTTTAACGCTTTATAAGTTGCAAAATGAAAATGAAAATGAATTACCCAAATTGATTAGATGTTTAAAGTCTTAGCAAAATTATCGTTTAAATGCCATTTTTCCTAAATGCATTTAGACTTACGGGTAGGACACTTGGGATTGCATTTTCATCGTGATACCGCGTGATAATTATAGTAAAATGCAGAGTGAATACATTCTGAGCCAAATATACAGCAAAAGGGTAGCAAAAATGGTGATTTAAATGTCTTATTTTTCTTAAATGCATTGACACTTACACTTAATTGGTTTGAATTGCATTTTCATTAAAGCTGCTGTCCGTAAGGTTTGCCTCTTTGACGCCATCTCTGTTTGAAAACCTGCAATTGCAGTTGTTTGTGGAATTAACTTCCTTGCGTGGGTTGTGCTCAGGCACGGCTCCAATGCGGATTAATCTAATGTTTTGAGGAGTATGTGTGGCAGTCAGTC